AAATTAGGGTTTCCCTTAATTGCTGCAATTTGTAAATTACATTATATTTCTTTTCTTGCATAAAAGCACTAGAAATGGTTTAAATTTAAATTGAGGCAATAAAATGTTTCTTCAACCAGCATAAAAGCATCATTTCTAGATGAAAATATCCACTTTAGCCATATTAGAGATTCTCATTGGAAAAAACTGACGTTACTTACAGAAAACAAGCTAAAAACGAGCTTTACCAAGTCTGAACTAGGTAGTCTTTAGAGTTCTAAAAGTAGAAAATGCCCCCCCACTGGTCTATAAGATTCTTAACTCAATGTTAACCATCTCTCTAACAGCTGGATTACTTAAAGTGACGTTACTATCCATTTATATCCAGATCAGACCTACAGACACCCAACATTAATAAGTGACATTCAAAGTCAGAGTGAACCTCTTTATTGAAAACTCGAAAAATTTTCTTTAGGACATGTCCCGAGACACCATCTCCAAAACACTCCTTGTCTGCAAGATTAAAACCACTGTTATAATCAACAAATTCCTCATAAACGTGAGCGATACACTCCAGAGAATCAAAAATATGACATCCTTGTGTCAGGAAGGCTGAACACGCAAACTACTCGAGTGAAAGCTGGGGCCCTGTATGACCCCAGAAAGCAGAGACCAAGCAAGCTGCTGTCTTCTTCCATTTCTAACCTTCAATGTTCAAAAGAAGATGGCTGCATCAAGGAGTTACATCTGTAAAAACAGTTAGAAGGCACAGCGAAATCTATACTATCACAAATACTTGGTCCTGTGCCCAAGGACAAACAGTTTTAACCCTTTCACAGCAACCTTGAAGCTGAGGCCAGGTTTCGGTCTTCTGGACCCTGTTCAGTAGGGACAGCAGATTTGTCATCTACTACAGATGAGCATAGTACCCATGTATCTATACCTTCACCTCCGGACGTGGATCGGCTGGCTTAAAATTAACAAGCACATTCCACTTCCTAATATTTAATAAGAGACAGCAAGTGGGAACCTTTACAAAAAGGAGCAATAAAACTACTTGAGTTTTAACACTGCATTGGTTTTACATCAGTCATCCAACATCTCCTCTGTGGACAGTGAGTGGGTACTGCCGACTGGGCCTGGCAGGACTCGCGAATATGAGCGAGAGACTAGACACTGTCACTGCAGACACCAACACAAAGGCACACATTAGCCACATGAATCTTCCTCTGAACAAAGACATTGAGAAGTACAAAATGTTAAGTAACTTAATGTGTGCTACTTATCCCCTAAGGCCATGAGATGAAAGGTCTCAAATGAGGCAACACTTGTGAGCTATTTATAGCTCTAGTCTTCAGGATGGCTTTGAAAATGATAGTTCCTTCCCTCACAGACCTCTGCAGTATGTCCTTTGACATACTGAGTGTGGTTCCAGACCAACTGCTTTTCACCTGAATAAATGACTGACTGTTCTTTTCAGTAAAGACAAATTAACTTCTGGCTGAAGGGGTTGAGTAGCTCCATGGCAACAAACACTGTATACAACACAACAGCCGTTCTGCATACTTTTACTATGGACGTTTAATTATGATTAAACCTGCAAGACCTAACCTACAGGTGACAAGCTATGACTACTTTATCTGTAAAGCAGGTTTTCCAGGTCTCTTTAAATTGCCAGCAGCTGAAGACCTTCGTAAATTGTTCTGTGCAATTAAGCGGATGATCGGCTCCGCTGGATCAGAAAGAGCAGAAATGGGAGGAAACCCCACATCATCTCAGCGCTCCAGAACAGGAGTCGTGCACCAACTGATAAACACGCTCACAAACTGAACTACTTGCTGACAGTGATAACCGTCAGTTTACAAAATGTTTTGTTAATCAGCACCTCTCCTGCTCTGGTGCAGCTTTTCCATCACAGCAGGTGGACTTCAGTGATCTGTCTGCTCCGTAATGAATGACTGTAGCTCTCTGGCCATGAATGATGAATGGCTGGAACCATTACCTCATGCACTTGCAAAGTATTCCCTGATGGGGTTTTCCCCACAATAAATCAATGCACCGTTAATTTGCTTAGGAGACCCTTATGTAGGTTTACTTTCAGTACAGAACAATATAATCATCTGATCATTAAATTATGATCTCTGTTTTAAAATAGCATGGATCAAACTAAATTCCATTCGTAGGCTTCTTCCACAACTGCAAGGTGAAAAAATCGTATGTTCCATATTCAAAGCCATACACAATTCACATTATCTTAGGGACACACAATAGAAGTACACTACAGGTTACAATGACAGCAGCATTAGCACCATGTGGTCTTGCCACACCTCAGAAGCTAAGCAAGGCTGGGCCAGGTCAGTACTGGTATGGCAGACAGAAAACCTGGTTATGGTGGACCAGTAGGGGGTGCTCTTCTTTCTACAAGACAATTCCAAACCAACATCCCAATGGCCCACTGTGGTGATTAGGAGAGAGTGCTGCAGTCCTCTGGGTGTTAAATGGAAGTCCTGATACTTGCTCATTGAAGACCACATGAGGTTTTAACCCAGTTTAATTCCATTCTGGATTTACAGAGTCTGTCCCCCCCTCCCCCAAGGCCCCCCTTAGTTTAACTGGTGCAGCAGTTTCTCACTCCTCCCTCCTGCTCGCCTGAGCAGTGCGTCATCCAGGTAGGGCTGCTCTTCACTGATGGATGAAGAGGGTCCTGCCCTAAATGCAGAGTGTACTGGGATACTCAGGGAAGAAAAGCACTACAGAAATGGAATTCCACACTTGCATCTGAAAGTCCCCATTTACAGGTGAGGAGAGCTGCAAAAACCTGCAGTTTATCCAGTTAGGAAAAAGAAGCCACACCATTCTGACATGCTTCATTACACCGCCCACAAACGTGGACCCATTTAAATGGCCTTTTCAAACAGTGACCTCATTCTCTGTGGATGCCCTCCATAACGCAGACAGCAGCACTGGCCTAGTTTGAATGGCAGGGGGCAGCAGCAGCATGTGGCTCAAACCCTCACAGGATCTGATGTAAGGCGCACAACTGTAACTGTACACCTAGGTCTGCACCAACGCACGTGTTTGTCACTCCAGCCCACAGCTCACCGAGAGGAAGAGATGGGGTGTTACAAACCCTTGTCAGTTCTCAGTTAATTTAGGTAAGGTCATCACAGGGGCAGATTTGCCCATGTACACACAGAAGCGGAATTCGAATGATCACACAGCAGCCCCAAAGCATCCAGCTTTCAACTGGATCCCGAAGTTTATTTGTGTATGCTAGTATTGCACCAAAGAGGACAGACAGAGAAAAGAACCGCAGCATGATGGTTGTGGTTTGCCTAAGAGGGGTGACGACCAGAACCAGCTAAAATCAGGACTGGGCACATGAGCGCCGCTGTGGGCGACGATGCAGGCAGGAAAAGCGCCTGCGGCCGGCGGCTGCTGTAATGAATGAACTGCGGGCGGACAGCAGGGAGGAGCCTTCGCCATTCACCACTACAGCATGCAGCAGACATGCCGTAATATCGCCGACGGGCTTATCGGCAGCTCTCGGTCACCTGTGGCTCCGTGCACGACGGCTCACAGCCTTGGATACGGAGGGGCATTAATCAAGCACCGCGTCTCTTCTGTTTATTGTCAGCTTCCAGCCAATTACGACGTTGAGCGAACCACCGCCATCTTAAGCCCCCCGCTCCCTCCGGTTTAAAATCACACCGTACGGACAACCCCCTTCCGAAAGCGCCCGATCCCAGCCCAGGACGTGAAAACCGCAGGACGATGTTGCCGTGCAGCCGGGGGGATCCGTCCTGCAGCCGGCTGCGCAAGAGCCCAGCGCGGCGTGGACCCCTGCCCCTACCACACCCACAGCCGAGCTCCGGGCTAAACCCCAGTCGGCACCTCGGCGCCCCACGCAGGGCACGGTGCTCCACAGCTGCCGCGCCGCCGAGGGGAAGATCCAGGGTCGCCATTACTTAACGCTGGATTCCCCACCACACACAACCAAACGGTTGACTAAATATGATCAAATAAGACGGGTCTGGGTCACATTCACTTCAAAACACGCGGAGCTCTGCTCTGATATCAGAGAGGATTTATAAAACATTTAATCTAACTCGGTCTGCTCCCGTTTCTGCTGGGCGTGTGTCACGCCGGACGCGCAGACGAACGCGAGAGCGCAAGACCAGACAGAAATGAAGACGATCTCTTTGAAAAGATCAAAATTCAAAACCACCTCCATTCGGAAACCTCGGTGTCAGACCAAATCCCATTTCACTGCAGCCGCCATTTTGAAGCACCCCGGCCGCCGCCACAGCCCCGAGAAGACGGGGTCCGGTCCGTGTCCCCACCCCTCTCCCTGCCCCCAGGGGAGCGGAGCGGTCCGGCTGCCCTCGCCGAGCCTCGCCCCCGGCCCGGCCCCAGCGGGGACAAAGCCAGCCGGACCCCACTGCACGCCGGACACCCTCCCCCCTCCCCGCCGCCCGAGCGACGCCGCTCCCCCGGAGGAAAAAAGCCCCGGACTGCGCCCGGCCGCGCCTCCCGGCCCAAAACCCCGTCTCCCCGCCCCGGCTCCCGCCCGAGTCCCGCCGGACCCGCCGCCCCGCACTCGCCCCCCTCCGCTAATTTATCTACTATTGTTAGCCGCCATTTTGCAAACTCGCAAAAATTGGATGCAATTCCTCGCTGCAACACAGCGGACGCGGACGCGATCCCCCTCCCCCCCGCCGAGAGCTCCGGACCCGCACGGTCTCGCTGTCCCCTGCCGGGCGCCCGCGGTCACCCGTGTCTCCGCGGGTGTCCGTGGGGCGTGTGCCCGGCGCCGCTCTCCCTCCCCGCCGCACAGCCCGTCTGCCCCCCGTGAAACCGTCGCCATTTTGTCTCTCTGCCGGACTCCATCTTCAGCCGCCTGTCCTCTCCCCCAGCCCCCCTCCGCCAGAGGGAGGGCGAGGAAGGCGCTCGGCAGCGAAGGAGAAAAATACAGATTTCTTCCCCAAAAATAACACCGCCCTGGTTCCCCTCCCTCTTACCGTCGTATCTCTCAGCCTGCTCGGCCAGTTTGGCCTGGTACACCAAGTCCTCTCGGTCTCCCATGTCTGCTCGGAGCCGGCGTGGCGGTGTCTGCACTGGCTGTGGAGAAGCGGCTCGGCGGCGGGCGAGTCTGCGTGAGTCGATCGGCGGTTCCTGGCGGAGCAGCAGCAGCAGCGCGTCCCCACTCCACCGGCAGCACTGGACTAAAGATGGCGATGGATCTCCATCCGGGAAACTAACCCAGTCCACCACCCTCTCTCTCTCTCCTGCGCTCGCTCGCTCACTCGCTCTCCCCTCCCTTCTTGCACCAGCTCGCAGCCATAGCAACCGCTCCCTGGCAACCACAGAAACTTGGAGATTGGAGTCCCCGCGCGAGTGTGCGCGTAGCTCTGAAGCGAAGAGCGTGGAGTCCGCGAGCGGGGCTCCGGCAGTTGAAGGAGCCCGAGCTGTGTCGGTTGGGAATGTGGCGCCTTCCCGTCACTGCGACACCGGTCCCGGACTTTCACAGGCGGTTCCGTCGAGAACTGTAATTACTGTGTGACAAACCGATTTGTAATTGGAAACACAGAGGCCAGCAGAACCTCCGTCATCGTCGTCAGGGCAGATCTGCTGCGGACGTTAGTTTTACACAACAGCACTGTACAGGATTGGGGATTAGAGGGGCTCCCTTTGTTTCGGGGATCCCTAGGTGGTCCCCGGACTTCTTCTGGAAGTCCTCTGTTCGTGAACACAATTTCGATTTGGGATTCTAGGGGGATGAAAAATGCTACAAAATGCAATAAAATTAACTGAAAAATATGGCACAACATAGAAGCGTCATTTAAAAGAAAAACAAATGTTCACAAGATAGTTGTGTTAAAATGATGAAAATCAATGTGTCAAAAAAACAGATTTGTCCATTACAGGTAAATAGATCTTTTTTACAACTAAAAAAACCCTAAAAGCCGTCTCCCACAGTTTTTCTGATCTGTATCCCTGTATGTAGAGTGTGAAATATCAACCAACAGGCTTATTCTTTTGTTCAATTAATTCATCCGGTGTTAACATTAATGAAGCAAACAAGAACGACAAGTCAGAACAACAAGTAAGCAGGCCTGTAAAAATGACGTGCTATGTGAAATTACAGTCGTGTCTGTTTTCCACAGGCTATGAGGATGATTCAGGAAGGCACAGTGTCTCCCTCAGGAGTAGCTGCTGCAGGAGCACTCAGAGAACCACGTGGTACATTAGCAGCCACAAGCAGGGAAGGAGGGCCCGCTCAATATTGATTTCATTTTATTAACAACAGAAAAAAGGTTACGAATGAGAGCAGGCCATGCAGCCCATTTAGCTTGTTGGGTTGCTAGTAGCTAGTTGATCGAAGGATCTCATCCAGTCGCTCCTTTTAGGGAGCTGGGATGATCAAATTTGACAAGAGGGTGGGATAAATTGTTCCAGACTCCCACGACTCTTTGTGTAGAGAAGGGCCTCCTGCTGTTCTCAGTTTTAAATTCCCCTCTGTGGTTTTTCCTCTTGTGTCTACTTGTTCATGTTTGCCTGCTGGTTTTATTCCCAGGCCGGCAGTCTCAGAATCGCACACCAAACCTGTCAGTCTGAGGACAGAATCGCACACCGAACCCCCATCAGTCTGAGGACAGAATCACAGACTGAACCCCCATCAGTCTGAGGACAGAATCGCACACCGAACCCCCACCAGTCTGCAGACAGAATCACACACCGAACCCCCATCAGTCTGAGGACAGAATC